AAAGTCTGCTGTTAGGGACCTCTCCAAAGTGCTGAAGAGCAATGGTATCTCTTTGGAGACTAAGGTGCATCTGATACAGGCCATGGTCTTTGCAATCACCTGTTATGCATCAGAGAGTTGGACAGTGACAAAGGAGGATAGAAGGAGAATTGATTGATGCACCTCTGACTAGAGCAGATTTGTTAATAGGAAGTGAGGAATAGGGATTAAGAGAGGGATTTGGGCGAGCTCTGGTGGCTTACTGGCAAGAAGCTGCACTGCAATCCCGGAGGTGTGTGATTCGAATCCATCAGATGCTCTGCTGAAGAAGGAGGTACAATCTGCTCCTGTACCAGTCAGATCTGATTTGACGGTACACAAAAAAAAGGGAGAGGGATTTGTTTCCATTCTTAAGTTTTTGGAATTTTCTAGATAAGCATTATTTAGAAAATATGCAGAAAATGCTATTTTTATTTCTAAAAAGAAATGAAAATAGAAAGGATGTTCCTCAGTGCTTTAAGTTCTGCATGGCTCAAGGGCTAAAGCTGTTAATGTTAGTTAATACAGACATCTCAGTATTTTTGAACAGTAAGTAGATAAAAAGATTTCTTGTACATATTGACTCTTTTAGCCCTTGAGGTTCAGTCTTTGAAAATAAAATTTCTTCAGAGCTCTTCAACCACGTTTAGCAGTTATTTATTCTGATGTCTCTCTTTTAATGCACATGGTCAATTTATGATAGTATTCTAAAAGTGTTTGCTAAAACACCTCTCCATTAATGCAGTAAGTTACCTGTACATGTAAGTATCTGCTTCAGCTTGAAAAATTAATATAGAAAAGGATTTTTGCAAAAGAGAAAGGAAGTGCTATTTTTTAATTAAAAATTGCTTATACTTACGAAATCATTTCTTTTCCTTAAAGGAAAAACAAAATTAAAATCTTCAGAGAATTTCTTAATATTTTACTTTCTTCCCCATCATAACTTAATATATAATGGTATTCTGTTTATCCATCCGTCTGTTATGGACATTTACGTTGTTTCCATCATTGGTACTGTGAATAGTTCTGCAGAAAACATAGGTGTACATGTATATATAGGTTCATGTCAAAGGTCATCTTTAAGACCTATAACTAGGGAATATATACCTAGTGATACTTCTGTTGCTGGTTTTGCACCACACTGCTTTCCATAGTGGCTGCACCATTTCATATCCCAACCAGCAGTTTATGATAGCTCCATTCTCTCCACACTCTCCTCTTTGTTTGCTGTCTTAGAAACATTGCCTTTGTTACTGGGGTGAGGTGCTGTTTTCATTGTTTAGATTTGCATCTTTGTAACAGTTAATGATCTTGAGCTTTTCTTCATGTGTTTGTGGGCCATCTGAGTATTTTAGGCAAGAGTCTCCTCTTAGGGGAAGTCTCTTCAGTCCCTCTGCACATTTTTGTAATTTGGAAGTTTGTCTTTTTTCTTGTTGAGGTGTTGAGAGTTTTCTTAAACTTTCAGAGATGTGTTCCCTGTCAGGTATATCATTGCCAAACATTTTTCCCAGTCTGTAGGTTAGAGAAGGCTATTATTTTTTTGCCCCAGTAGTTTTAATGTTATATATCCTTTTTTTAAAATTAATTTCAATGAACATTTACAGAGATTTTGGATTTCCATTCATTCCCCCAGTTCGCTCTTCTCCTTGAAAAGCAAAAGAAAAACTCCTTCATTGGTATACAATCCCCCCGCACCCTCCCACCCCCACTCTGAGAAGGCTATTTTTAAAAGATAAAGTCCAAGTAGATAAAATAATTTCTGTGTTTAAAATATAGAATAACTTAATTTTAGGTAGCAGTGATGGTTCTGAACTAAGTGAAGAGACGTCATGGCCTGCTTTTCAAAGGTAAGAGAACTTGTCACTTTAAACTTATTTGAGCTTATTTTGTCTGTCTTAAAGTATATGATAATGTGTATATTCAAAGTTAGTTTTTATGACCATACTCTTAAAGGACTATTGGTGATTTCTGCTGGTAGCAGAAAGTAGACTTTGACCTTTAAGTCTGCACTTAACAAGTGATGAAAATGATTGACAGTCTTATTTTTGTTATTGGTTTCACACATACATAAAGTATTTGGATTTAGTATGTTTTTAAACATAAATTTAAATTTAAACATAAAAATTTAAAAAATTTGTGATTTTTAAAATTATTATAACCAGCATACCTATTTATGTGTTTAAAAGAATAATTCTTTTCCTAAGTTCTAGTTTCTCTTAAGTCATTTAGTGACAGTCAACTTCACTTTCTGCTGATTTTTCAAGGGCAGAATGACTTAGTAATTTATACTTGGTTAACTAAAGCTAAATTAAGACTGAATTTAAATTGTCATGAACTCAAAATTTGCACAGATTAATTTTTCCCCTGAAATGCACTGCTCCCTCATTTCCCTTTTGCTAGAAGCTGTAAAAGTTGTCATCTGCCTGCAACAGATCTACTGTTTTCAACTTCCAAGTATAAGATCTTGTGAAAAATAAAGCCAAATCCTGCAAACAGTGTAATTTACTAAATGTCCATTAGGATTCTTGTTTTATCTCTACTTATTTTCTTATAAAATCTTTGACTCTTAATGAAAAATAATTGCTCTCTTATGTAGACACAAAGAAACTGAATTCTAAAACAGGAGGTATGTTATTTAGATTGAAATTGCTTTGTGTCCTATTAAAGCACTGACGGACATGCTCCACAGTTCAAATCCATTAGCTGCTCCTGGGAGAAGGATGAGTAATCTCCCGTGAGATTTACTGTCTCTGAAAACTCACTGGAGGGTCAGCTATGGGTCAGTTCTGACTTGATGGTACACAACACCAACAACAGTCTGTACCAGTCTGGGGCTCTGGTGGCCTAGTGGGTAAGGAGTTAAGCTGCCAACCCAAAGAGAGGGTTGTGTCAACACACAACAATAGTAGTTACAGAATGATTATCTGATACCTATTTGAGTTGGAAGGTACTATAAAAAACTGAAATTCTATTTTTTTTAAAAAAAAATTTATCACTATCAAGTAATTAAAATTTTACTTGTAAACCCAGTATTTCAAAGTGCTTTTGATGCTTTCTTTCTCTTTTATGTTTCCATGTTTTATTCTCTCTGGATTTGGATTTTTCTTAACAATTTGTTTTTACATGTTTCACTTCTGGACATTACATCCTATTTCTTTATTTGAGTTTACCTGAAATGGAAAAAAACAAGAGTTGCCTAAGTCTGCATTTGTGCCACTTGTAGTCTCTTATTTCTCCACCAAAAAGCATGATATTATCTGATCTTGATTACAGAATGTTGTAATCTTTAGGTCTGATGAGCAGAATTGTTTATCAGATTCCTGGAACTGCATGTGAGATGGTGTGTTCATAGTGTGCTCTCATCCCAGCAGGTCACTTACAGAGGCACTTTGTAATGATGGTACTTCCACAGCTCAAAAAGATATTTGTCTTTTATGGTAGATACTTTGCTTTACAGATATTTGCCGCTAAAATCATGGAGAACTTGTTCGATGCTTAGATCAGTGGCTCTGTGGGGAGTTTCAAGAGCAGTTAAATTAATGCTCCCCAGCAAGTTCCAGAAATAGTAAAAAGTGAATAAAAAACAAAGATTTAAAACATACTTTGTGCATCATGAACTTCACAATATTGCTCTGAATATTGAACATGCCAATACTTATTTTCTTGTTAATAGAGAGAAATCAAGTTTATTAGAGTTTGTGACAATGCTTTTTGTATCACTAGTAGCTTTTCTCAGGTAAAGAAGTATTGGTATTTCTGTATATGTGTGTTTCTTTTGTTAAGATAAATATTAACTCATACCATTTGTGTAATTTATTAGCTTTGTCAGTTAATGTAGAAATAATACTATTTTCCCCCTTCACTTCATCTATTTTATTATTTGGCTTTGATTTAATATAAATGACAAGCAAGAAAATCGAGTGCTTGGGCCATGCTAGTTTTAAATTTATAGGCCATACTGCCTTTTAGGTGTCTTCATAGGGACATGTAATCATAAGGAGTTGTATAAACCAGGCATAGTGTTTAGACTGGAATCTAGAAAAAAAATTACTAGAAAGAAAATTTTTACGTATCTTTCCAATTTTGTTATTATTTGGTTATAAATTGCCCTTTGATTCTTTTAGCAGATCTGAGAAGGTGAAGGTCCGTAGAAGTGTGTGGTGTGTGCTAGATTCCCATTATTTGTAGAATAATCAGAGAAAGAAGGAAAGAAAAATATTTGTTGCGCATGCCTTAAGAAAAGGGAACAATCACATGCTATCCTTTTGTGAGATTTAGAAAGCTGTATTATACGAAGAAATAGTATACTGTTGTAGGTGCTGGTGATGATTGTATGATTAAAAGTATATGTAATATATACAGTTTATAATGGAATCCAACAGGAGCAAATTATACTATTCTCTTGGCTCAATGACAAGAATGGCACAAAATGGCTATCGAAGGTACAACTCCCCTGCATTCAGGGGCCACAAAATTTCCCCCGGTGTTGGTGATTGGCTTCCATGGGTGTGGTCTGACATTAATTCTCTTCTCTACCAACTAATTGTCTTAAAAACTAAACAAAATGCCCAGGAAATCTTGCTTTTCACAATTTAACATAAAGATCAATTTCATCTGTTGGTGATGATTGTATGATTAAAAGTATATGTAATATATACAATTTATAATGGAATCCAACAGGAGCAAATTATACTATTCTCTCCGCTCGCTGACAAGAATGGCACGAAATGGCTATCGAAGCCACGTGAACGCCAGAAGGTACAACTCCCCTGCATTCAGGGGCCACAAAATTTCCCCCGGTGTTGGTGATTGGCTTCCATGGGTGTGGTCTGACCTTTATTGTCTGGTATTGTGTTGTGGGTTTTTTTTGTTTGTTTGTTTTGTTTTTTTTAAAAAAATATGTGCCTGGTAAAGTAGAGGTCCTGATTGTAGCTGAAATTATTCCTTTAAAGAATAGCTGGGCATTTACACTCATTCAGTATAGATTAAGAAGGTTTCTGTCTATATTTTATTAGCTATAGAAAAAGAAAAGGATGATGGAATAGTTCAGGGTATAAAGAACCAGTTCAAACTGCAATCAGATAGAAACTTTGGAAGTGATTTTAATGTCACTTGGATGGTGTCTAATCTCCTTGTGTATAAATGGCTCCAGCATGGAATTTCTAGTGGTTTTTAGGCTTCAAGTCACTTTGAAGACACCTAAATACTGGGAGATAAAGTGGAAAATTTCCATTTTCTTCACTGTGGCAAGAACTCTATAGCTCATGTATCATCAAAAAATAATAGCTTTTAAAGCGTATGTATGTAGTTTATTATTTCTCTTAAGCTGTTCAAGTAGGTAATAAAGTGTGTTCTTTTAATCTCCAGCTGATTTCAATTAATAACTGCCTAATTTCATGACAGCTTATAAATTTCAAAATATAATTATCACTGTCTTCTTGGGTCTGAATAAAGCATCCATTTTAAAATTAAATAAGTTTATTTAAGAGCTTACTTAATGACTACATGCTTTTTACATAGTCTTTTCTTCATTTCATTATTTATAGTTCTGCAGAATCAGAAGACTTGGCAGTACATTTATACCCAGGAGCCGTTACTATTCAAGGTGTTCTCAGGAGAAAAACTTTGTTAAAAGAAGGCAAAAAGCCAACAGTAAGAGTTTATGATGTTATATTTTACACACTTCTAAAAAAATATATAAATGTACAAAACTAGTTGTTACTGATGTCAGTTCTGACTCATAGTGACCCTATATGACAGAGTACAGTTGCCTCATGGAGTTCCTAAAGCTGGAATCTGTAGAACGCAGGCGGATACATGCTTTACTCCTGCATGGTGACTGGTGGGTTCAAACCACTGCTTTTCCATTAGCAGCCAAGCACTCAACCACGACAGAAACCTCAAACCCATTGTCGCCTAGTCAGTTCCAAACCATAGCAACCCTGTAGGTCAGAGAACTGCCTCTTATGATTTTCTTGTAAAGCTTTCCAGAAAGCACACTATCACATCTTTGTTCCACAGGGCATCTCGTGACTTCAGTCAAATTTTGAGCTAACAGCCTAGTTAGCCTAGCTTAACCACTGCTACTAGGCCTCCTTCATAAATGCACATTGCCCTTGTTCTGTACCATCGTGTCAGAACTGACCCATAGCTGATCATCCAGCGGATTTTCAGAGACAGTTAATCACACTTTCTTGATGTGATACCTTAGGAGGAATGTAAAAATAACAGTAAATTTGAGATTTGGGAACTGAGCTGGGTAGATATTGGAGCTGTATCTTGAAATAGTGGAAGAAAGGATAGTGAGTGTGTGTATGTGAGAAAGAGCAAGATGCTGATGTTAGAAGTTTAAGTGCTAGCCAAGTTCTTTGATGGGCTTGTTTGACATTCAGTTGAATGCAACAAATTACTCACCTCATGTTCTTTCAAGAGCCAGAGGGCTGATGGCCTAGGGTAAGAGTTGTAGCAATTATTTGCATACAGAGAGTAGTTGTAGCTGGGACTAGATGAGATCTTCGAGAAAAATTAGTAGCTGAGTGTAAAAAGAGCCAAGTGGAAATGGCCATACCTGACCTCCTAACTCCACAAATGGGAACTTTCCCCATCGACAACATAAAACAAATTCCCATGAAGTCAAACATGTCCCCCATGCTCCTGCATCTCCTTCCACTAATTACAGCACCAAGCTTATTGCTCTGCTAGGTTCAAAATCTGTTGTAGTTTACAGAGCACACAAAAATCATTCTCATGATTACGGGGTTTATTAAGGAAGTTTACAGGGTGCCATTTCAGTTGGCAACAGGATACAGTTTCTCAGTCGGGACAGCTCCCAAAGAATACTCACTGACCTTTCAGCCTTACCGCTTTAGTCCTGCCAGTTCTGAC